TGTCAGCTAGCAAATAATAATAAAAAAACACTTATTGATTCCAGGGAAGGAGTTTTATGTGAGACTCTGGTGGTCCTCTTTCTGTCCACCAGTGCGTAGGGTGGTCACAGGGTCACACTTGGCAAGTCCTGCAGAGGGATTCTGTAAAGCAGTGGATGCAGCCTTGCCATTGTGTTGGTATTTCAATGGCACTAGTGCTATTTGTCCTTAAATTGTACACAGGACATTTCTGCTGACTAAGAGATAGGAATTTCAGGAAAAACAGGAGCATCCTCAATGTTGTTACCAGAAAAAAAAAAAAAAGCTAATTCTTATTATGTGAGGCTGTTTAGCTTCAAATACTTTTTCAAATTTGAAAATCCCCCTTTCTTTTATGTAGCTGATTTTTTAAGCTATCAGGAAGACACCTTTTTCTTTCCCTCCTGTCTTCTCAGCAGCTCTCTGCCTGCGAACATTTCATAACCGCTGCAAAGCTTTTAAGAACATAAAAAGAAAACAAAATTTTGTTCACACCATTCCTGTCTGTGTGTGGGTGTCTAGCACATCCACTAATGTCAAGATTAAATTATGGGGGGCCCTTTGCGGCTCTGTTGACTCTGGTGACTTCAACCTGAGCTCAACCCCAACAGGCTGAACTCACAGCGGGCTTCWGGGCTTCTGTGCAGGTTTCTCTAGTGGTTTGCTTCCCCATGAAAGTTCGAACTATCCCTGGACAATGTGGCAGGAGCACAGCAGAGTGTCTTTGGGCAGAAGAATTTGAAGACCCTCAGCCATTCCGAAGAATGAGAGTGACCTCTATGAAATGGAAACAAATTCTCGCTTTAATAATTTCCTCAATGATGGGAATGTCAGTAATCTCTCTGCAATGGATCCAGTTTAAAATTTGTTCCGTTGACTTAATTTCCCCATACACCCCTAAAACAAAGCTCTCTTTTAAAGCAAGACAGGCTTGGGGTTAAAAATGGACAGCTTAAGGTTGTCCCACTCCTTCCTGTCACACTCTATGACCCTCACGTGGATGCAGGAGTGGGATGCTGTAGTGGTGCGTCTGAGAGCAGCATTGGGCGGGGTCCTCTCACCCTGCAGGAGTCGTCTCTGGGGGGATTCCCTGAGGGGGCTTCCAATGGGTTGATCACCCAGGAAGTCAGCTGGGCTCCCTGCCAGGAGAAAGTGGACACACCGAGGGATAATTTTATTATTGTTTACTAAAAATTGGTGATGGTGATGTCTTATCCATAGTTGTCTTAAGATATGGAAAAACTTGTTATTTCAAGAAATCAAAAGATGTCAGGTAGATTGATCCCACAAAATTGTGCACCACTCAAGGAAATTCCCTGTTCTTGTTTTTCCCTGTGGCACTGGGCAGGATAATTACATCATCATCTTGTGCATAGTTAATAAGTAGTCAACCTGCACCTAAAACACTTTGGGTCTGTTAATATTAATCGTTTCATTATCTTTCTCAGTGAAGGAAATCAAAACACACGTTTTTAATATCCTTACCAACTTAGTAGATTCTTTGTCTAGTACTGTTTAGTAAGAGATACATAGTTTTATTCATAAGGTGGGATATTTTTCTAGATATCAGATTCTTTATGCAAGAATAGATATATGACCTATTTAGATTATGGAAATATATCAAAATATGTTTATTTATATGGTATCCAAGAAGGAAGCTTATTTAAAAGGGCAAAATGAGGCTTCCTAAAACGTGATGTTGCAAGATCATAGTGAATTCTTTTTCTTGTGGTTGTCATGCTTTGGACATGAGGTGTCCCCTGAAAATGCTCACGTGTTACTACAGGAATGTTCAGAGGTAAACTGCTTAGATCGGGAGAGCTGTAACCCACTCGGTGCATGAACCCATTTGATGGATTAATAAATTGAATGGACTCACTGGGTGGTTACTGTAGGCAAGTGGGGCGTGGTGAGAAGCAGGTCATGGGTGTGGGGGAAGGTGTACCTCTGGGGGTTATGTTTGTCTCTGGTTCTCCTTCTCCCTCTGCTCCAAGGCAGCCCTGAGCTTCTGTCCACCTCCACTGTGCCATTCTGCCACAAAGCTCTGCCTCACCTCAGGCCCGGAGCATGAAGTCAGCTGATTATAGAACCATGAACCCCGAATAAACTCTTCCTTCTGCTTTCGTCAGGTATTTTGCTCACAGTGATGAAAAGCTCACACACAACGAGAAATGCGTATTGAGACATTATTCTCATTGAAATTTTTTTTTCCTTAAATTTACAAATCCACTAACACTCTTCAATGATCTCTCTTTAAAAGGATAAAAGTAAATGCTTTAAATTAACTGCACAACTATGTTTGAGGCCTTGGTTACCTTTATAGATCTTTGTAATTGAATCTTATAAAATCATTTAAATCACGTTAAAATACGTAAGCACTTGCTACCCGATCCATATCAATCTCACATGGTCTGGTTTTAAAACTGGAAAGTCAATTAGCAGTATCTCCTTGCTTCCTACTAGACACAAAATGAATGAAATGCAGCATGTTCACATCTTAGATAAGCTTTGTGGGACCATTCCTGGGCTACACTATTATCTCCTGGATAGCACAGGTCTTCATCTTACTTTAAATAAAAATAAGGAGTTAGAGTGAATACTCTTTCATACTTGGAACTTCTTTTTTAAGAGTTTTGTGCATGTATAGAAAGTATCTAAAAGAAAATGTTGTGTTTTGAAAATCAGGTCCTAGAATTATGATCCTAGAATTTGGGGAATTGAGGCAATTACCAAGTTGAGGTAGCCAGCCCTCAGAAAAACACTAGTTGAGCCTACTCTGAAGAATGAACTTGAGGTATAGAAATTTTTGCTAACATTAGCCTTCACAAGACTTTATAAATGAAATTGTTTGCTCCATTTACTTGCGTGCACCAAGTGATGAAGTCTGCTTCTGCGATTTCTAGAAATGTGTGGTTTCAGGATGGAGCCTCAGTGGACCTGTACTGGGACATCTTCTGCATTTTCTCTTATCTCTTGAGTGTCAGGCCCCACATCCAGGGGTCATCTACTCCTGAGGTTCTAGTGAGTGGACCCACTATCCCTGAGTCCTCAGCAGCAATTGCTTGATTCACTTCCCCAGTGTGCTTCTCAGTGGTACAAATCATGATAAACACACAATAGCAACCACTAATGTGAGTTAGATTTTGTTTTGGAWTTTTTTTTGTATGTGTGTGTGTCACAAGACGGTTAGACATATTTAAAAGTGTGTAAGAGATGACATATCGCCACAGTTGGGAATAATAATGTACTGTTTTTGCAATTATTGTAAGCCTTATAATTATTCAAAATCACTCCCAAGTCACCTTCATAGGAACAAACACTTCCATGAGATGGTGTACATGCTTGGTACAATTCTGAGCACTTTATATAGACTAAGTTGCTATATAGAAACCTCATAAGAAACGAGTGGATAGACCTACTATGTGCCCATGTTACAGACAGAGAAGAATAAGACACAGAGCTTAAGTAATTTGTCAAGGATTCCCCAGCTAGGGAATGGTTGAACTGGGAAGTTGGTGGAGGACCCACATTGGGTGCTCTCCACCATGGCAGATGACCATGGTTGCATGAAGCACTCTATATTTCCTTCATGAAAATGTACTTTAAATCTCTCTCCTTATGAGAATTTGCCTGCTTAGGACAACTATAAGAACATCAACTGTTAACTAACAGCAAATGACAACACAATCTTCAATTTTGGATGAAAATGAGCATCAGTAGATTTGCAAATATAGGCTGATAATGAATGCACAAGCCTTTCAAATAATGGGAAATTGGTAGTTTTAGTATTTCACTTGATTGGAATCACTAGGAAAATGTCATATTAATTTGATAATTGCTACCAGGGTTTAAATTTAACCCAAATCTTTCTAGAAGGATAAGTCTCACAAGCTCGAACAATCTCACAGTTAATATCAATCTCCAAAATGCTCAAGCTACTTATCCATTCCTACGGAGGGTCAAATGGCCTGTGCATGCAGGATTTACCTCCCCCTCCCACCCCCAGGAGTTAGGAAGGCTCTTTGGACCATATCCCAGATGGAAAGATACAAATATATATGTAGAATTGGGGAAATCAGAAACACGTTTAAAATATGCATTAAGAACAACATAGGATTATTTGTTAAACTATTTGTTTTCTTAGCGAATTTTTCTCTTTTTCTTTCATACCTCAAACTATTTCATAGAATTTTAGAAACAAAAAACAATACTAGATATAAACTTCATCTTCTTAAATGGAAATAGGCCTATTGATATATCTCATAGAGAATGAGGAGGCTTCTCAGTGCATCTCTAGGCCTCCTGCAGGGAGAAAGAAGTTCATCCCATCGTCTGCTCTTTGAACAAAGTAGTAAAATTTATAATTTTGCTTTATGGTGGTATAAACTTTCTTTCTTCAGATTATTTCCTTAATTATTTTTAGACCCTGAAACTATAGTACAGCTCCAGAGCAGGATGCTAATCAAATTATTCTGTTGGTAAATAGTATGCGCTCCTTTGCGAAGCACTTTATTATTGGCTCTGAAACATAGATAGAAAAAGCTTAAAATGTTCGAGCCTCCATGATAAAGGAAGAGATGAAAAGAAATGAAAGAAGTGAAATCCTCTCTGGTGGTATCTCAATTTTAGTTATTTTGGGCCTCTATGGAAATCTTGTACAAGTGTATATTGGGCTACACAGACAGGATTGCTCTCACTTCACTGTCTAGACACGCCCCCTCTTTGGGTCTAAGGCAATAGGCAGATACATGGAGTACAGGGCTCACGACGAGTGGCCACAAATAACCTCTGTGGTACAATGAGCAGGGTATCAGAGGGGTGAGAGATGGGGCCTCAGAGGTTTGGTAACTGGGGCAAGTTCCTGGGGCCAGAGCAGGSTMGACMCAGAGGCACTCCAGGAATGGGCCCWCGTGAACACCATGAACACCAGCCCCCGGGACATTCATTCCCAAGCTGTTAGGATACCGAGGAAGGAGCCTTACCCGGGCTTTCTGCTCCATTTCTAGCATTAATCTTTCGTGTTGCTCAGCTATGGCCAGTGTCGCAGAATGGACCTTCTGATAGATCATTTCTCCTTCCCTTGTTTGAAAAGTGAATAGTCCTTCTCCTGTGTCACACATTCTGTGAGGACAGAGACAGGGAAAGAGATGGGTCTTCACGTGTTCAAGCGGTAACAGTCCTCCATGTAAGACGCCCTTGCCCTCCTGCTACCTATCCCAGCTCTCAGGAGTTAGTGACGCAGACTCATCCTGGACCAACCCCAACAAATGCATCTTCAAATGGTATGTGGGAAGGGAATAAAGCTGAAAATTCATCAGTATTTGGACTTTTAAGGACAAAGCGTTCACACAGCATAGAAAGCAACAGATACAAGTGATTCAGGTCACGGCAGTGCATTCCACTTGGAAAAGAGARTAAAAGACAACAATTGTTTTCTTAAAGGTTTTCATGTGCTTGATATAACAGTACCATCACCTACGGGCAGCTCTTGAAATGTGTAGGACTTGAGAAAAATTTGCAATTTTGCATTCACTGGAACCAAGGAGAAGGTGACTACATAGCTTTTATACATTTTTAATTTCATATATTTTTAAATATATAGATTTGCATACATAGGCTAAATCTTTTATTTAACCAAATGATTCTTAAGTAAATCTTGGTATAACTCAGGGCTCAACATGGCACAGAGGAGATTTTGGAATATGAAGAGTCTTTGGTTTAAACATTCTCTGCCAATCACCAGCAGGATGCACTTGGGCAGGTTATTTAACTTGACTCTATCTGCTTCCCACATCTCTGAAATAGGAGCTGTAGGATCATTTCTCCCTTTATAAAAGTGAAAGAGTTGGTAGATAAAATATTTACAGTGATGCTTAGCGCATATTAAATACTTAAAAATGTTAGCTACTGCTATGTTCATTATAAACTTTGGGAATTAATCATAAGGAAAGTTTGGAAATAGTTAAGTATCTATCTACCATAGAGAAAAGAAATGATTGGGTAAATTCTTTTTTTTAAAATGTTATTTTGATACAGACTATTTTACTATTATGATGCAGTGCTTTGGAAAGACTATTAAGCAACTAATGCTGTCATTTCTTCTGAACATATAATAACATTAAAATTCTTACTGTGTAAATTTGAGAGGAAAAATAAGAATATAAGCTCCTTTTTATTATTAATTGAAATGTAATTATAATTGACTTTTTAAACCACAATATTTTATTGGAAAGAAAACCCACAGACAAATTGTAAGTAGGAACTCGGGTCAGTTTTATTAACATACCTAGTTCTAAAATGAAAAGGATTTTAACTAATACTTTAGGCCAGTTTTATCAATGTGATATGAATTCTCAGACATTGGATATTAACTAGGCCACCAACCAACCAGGTGATACCATCAAAAAATTTGCAGGTACCAACATCAAAATATTCTTGAGACCAAACTACTTCTTCAAGCACCAAAAAGAGTTTCGATTCTACTCTACGATTCTCCAAGGAGTTTTTCAGCAGAAAAGAGCTGTCTCAGGAGGCTTCCGACATTGCAGAGGCTGCGGTCCCTCAGGGCCCATGGACCCAGCACTCAGCTTCTGTGAAAGCCATCTTAATAAAATTCACTCAGCGTGAAATGGAAAGTCTGGGGGGGAAATGAAGAGTTTTTGCAAAGTGAAACAATGGAGCAAGCTTTCTTTGTTGATTCAGGGGAGTCAGGGAATCCAAGAGCAGCAGCAAAGCCACTGCTAGGTCCTGAGAGCCTCCCCTTTGAGGTTGAGTTTTGTTCCTTGTCCTCTGAAAAACACTGCCTAGTAGCCTCCGGAAATGAGATAATGAAGGCACCAGTTGTTATTTCATACTCAGTCATTGAGATGTAGAATTCTAATGCTTGGCCACTTCCTGGGACTTAGCTCTGCCCTGTGGGGAAGTTTGAATGCTTACAGGAGGGTTTTTTCCAGTCTCTGAAATAACTACTGTAAATTCATCCCTTGATCAAGAAACAAGGCAAGAGAAGCAAAGAAACAGAAGGTGCCATTTCTGAAATTTTGGTGCCTAAGCCAAGCTGAAGGTCAGAATTCTTCATGGTTCTGTTGGTCATGTTGAAATGAGCTACTTAGGTTTCCTTGGTTGTGGCTTAAACGTGATCTCTGGGGACTGGCAGGGAACAGATATGGAGACTTTTTATTATCTGTGTAAACAGCGTGGTGGTAGCAAGTCAACACTGGAGGGAAGGTCAGGGAGAAAGATGGAATGATTTCGATGGCTTTTGACCTGCTTCTCAAAATAGGGCCCAGGGCCAGTGGTGCAGGCCCTGCGGGGAGCTTGTGCAGAATCTGAATCTGCATGTTAACAATGTCCCCAGGTGGTTCTATGCACATGGTGACACTTGGGAATCAGATGAGCACAAATTAAAGCCTTGTTTGTGCAGTTTTCAAAAATGGGACACATGAAATTGAAGGTTAGAAAGGAAGAAATAGAACAGAAAAAGGGCAGACAAGCAACCAGAAAGGTTCTTTTACTTAACTGGGAGAGAGGTAGATGGAAGGGCCAGTTCTATTTGAATACAGTCACTCTTGCCCCTAGCTCAGCGTCCAGTGATTGCATTTTAAGAAGTGGTGAAAATATGGATAGTGTATGTTGTTCTGACTCCAAAGTAGAATTCAATTGACATTTAAATACAACTGCAAATATTGTCTTTGACTTAGTAAGGTATTTGCACAAAATTAATGCATTTTCTTATCTAAAATAAAATGTTGAAGAATATAATCCTGAAGGTCCCTTCTAGTTCTGAGGCATGGTTTGGTGCCTCAGAGATTCTAAGGAGGTACTACTGACACGTCTTTTGAAGGTTGTTTTTTCCTTGTTTGTTTTCTGTTTTTGTTTTGACACTGTAGTATAAGGGAAATTATAGCAGCATAATATTTAAAAGACTAGGACACACATTTGAAACAACATGCCATGGCCTATCATATAAATCAGTCACATATTTTTTAAGTAGGTCCTATTAAGCCAACACTGTCTTGGCCTGAGGTAGGAGGAGAGGAAAAAATACAAGACCCACAGTCTCTGAGACTCTTCAAGAAGTGGGAAGAAAAGCACTGGTCAAAGAATCACATGGTTACTGTGGTGGGAGGATTGACCTGAGCAAGGGGTTCACCTACTGGCTCTTCAGCTATAAAACGGGGATATCCAAGTTTTCGTCACAGGATTTTCTTTTCTTCTTCTCCTTCTCCTTCTCCTTCTTCTTCTCCTTCTCCTTCACCTTCTTCTTCTCCTCCTCCTCCTCCTTCTTCTTTTTTAAATTAAATGAAGTAACGAATGTGGTGGAGTTCAGGAAAGGACGACGAGAGTTCAGCATGCCTGGATTATGCAAGCCATGCAATTTCATGAAAAGTCCTGGTTTCAAGAGGGGCCCTGGACTGGCTTCTGGATACAGCCTCAGGATGAGCCTTTGACTATCTTCTGGATAGAGCTTAGGGTGGTCCTGGACTGGCTTCTGGATACTCTGCCTATTCCCTGCAGCAGTGAAGCCAGATAGGTTGAGACCCACACTGTGACTTGGGTGAGAGGCTGTCCTTATGCTGATGGAGGCTGTAGTCTGAGCAGCTGCGGTGGGTCCAGATGGTGTCTGGTGCCCTGGTGGCTGACCCCAGTAAATCCCAGGACGCGCAGGCTGGGGGTGCTCCGCACTTCTCCTGTGCTGTCAGACATCCCGGCTGGGAGACCTGAGTGTCCCGGGCAGCACCACTGGGGGAGCCCGGAAGCCCTTGCCTGATGTCTCCTGGTCTTTCCCTTTGCTGGTTTTAAACAGTGTGTCTCTTGGCAGTCAGCCATGCTGTGAGTGTGAAGGTTTTCTGAGTCTTCTAGAAAATCATGAAGCCTGTGGATGGTCTTGGGCACCCCTCCATCTGAGATAGCTGGCTGTCAAAGCACTTTTATAGAATAAGAACCTAAAAATCCTAGTCTTTCCCCTAAATATTTGTTGACCAGATTCCTTTTCCAGCATATTCTCCTTCTTTACCACTTTCAGAATCTCTCAAGATAACATCATCAGTCTCATTTCTGTTACGTCCTACAAATACACATACCCACATAAGTTTTTTGTTCTTCCTATTGTTAGTTCCTCAGGAAGAATAAGAAATTATGTGGATATCTCTGTTTGTAGGAACCTGAACTCCAAATGAATGACTCCAATATACATGGCTTTTGTAGTCGCCTTCAAGGAGAGAAAGAGCCCTAATATAGAGCCCTGGAGGAGATTTTCCTGGAGAAATAGTCACCCTCAAGTAACTACAATAGCATCGCTCTCTTTTCCTGTAAATCTCCAACTTAGCTTTCTATGCAGTGGTGACTTTTAAATGCCATCCTTTATTCTAAATGACCAACGAAATAAATTTACCAAGTCAAAAACTATGGAGACACTTTACTTAAAATAAATTAATAAACAGGGAAGCTTTAAAATAATTCTGTGAGTCTCTTGATGAAGTTTYCTAAAGGTGAATTAGATGACCCCTGTCAATTTTATTCTTCTTCAGAGCTGTATAATTTCATTCTCACTTCAAGCTCTGCAATATTGTATACATATTTAATAACCAAATATTTATCCTCCATGCCCGCAGACATTTAAAATTGCCTGGAATGGAGGAGAGCAGGAGCATGTTCCTGAAAACTCAGTGGTGTTTCTATCCAGAATTTAAAATTTAATGTTTAATTATAGAAAGCAACGGAACTCTCAAAAGCACAACTTTTCTTCAGAGCGTCTTACATCAATTAACACTTTTATTCCATTAAAGGCTTAACTATTTAGTGTCACTTAACAATGCTGACATTTTACGTTTTATAAGCAGCTATGGAAAGATTGGTTACTGTTTAAGAGCTCTGTTGATTTAAACATTGATCTGTGCAAAGAAACTATGAACAATATGAACAATAGACTAAGGTATCATAGAGAGTGGACTACGACATCATGGACAGTAGACTAAGGTATCAAAGGAGTAGACTAAGGCATCATGGGGAGTGGAATAAGGCGTCATGGAGAATACACAAAGGCATCATGAAGAGTACACTAAGGCATCATGGAGAGGAGACTGACACCATGCAGAGCACACTAAGGCAACATGATGGAA